CTGTTTACTGGCTCCATCCCCTCCTTCCACTCTGCCCACCCCTGGTCAGGCTCACCGGGACCAAGTGTGCCTGCTCTGTCTTGCTTGGTTGTTTGGTGCTCCAGAAGCAGTTGGTCTCCTCTCTGTCTCTTGCCCTCATGTTTGTGACCCTGTTCTCCATAGCTTTAGTCTTTACTTATTGGAATTCTTATCTCCTGTGGGTTTTTTTTTTTCATGCCACTCCCTACATGTCAGAGAGGCCTGGAATCTGTCTGGCAGCCTTTTGCTTTCTTCTTCTTCTTCTTCTTCTTCTTCTTCTTCTTCTTCTTCTTCTCCTTCTCCTTCCCCTTCCCCTTCCCCTTCCCCTTCCCCTTCCTTCCCCTTCCCCTTCCCCTTCCCCTTCCCCTTCCCCTTCCCCTTCCTCTTCTTCTTCTTCGTCTTCACTTTATGGACTGGAGGTCTCTCTCTCCATCCTCTTCCAAGTTACATCTTTATGCCAGTGTCACTGAGTGCTGATCTCACAGTGATTCTGAGAGTGTAGGAGAATCCTTCAACCATTGTTTCCTTTCAGAACCTCAAATGGTATGCCAACTCCTTGTTCAGAATCTCCATCTTAGTGTCCAGTGGACATTTCTAGCTCCACATGGCCCCAACAGCCTGTACTCACACCCTCAAAGCCTTTTTTCCTTTGGGTGTTCTCCATTCCCTTAAAATGCTCTCAGCAAAAAAAAACAAATACTGATACCCCAAAGTTTAAAGGGCAGAAGGAAAACATTTACCGTTAATGTTTTTTTACATCTATTATAATAGAATGAGTACATTTCCCCCCAGTAACAGTACAAACCACCTTGAAATTTGCTCATTTTATTTTTATATGTAAATCATTCCTCTTTCTTTATAGCTGCATTTCCATTATAGTCTCATGATTCTCAGACATTTCTATATGTAGAATATTGATGGGGTACCAAGATTTAATACTTACACAGTACTCTTAAATTCAGGTTAACACAAGTGGCTAGAATCCAAAGTGTTAAATGTTAAAACTGTTGGACTTTTGAGGGACGGGAGAAGTAGGTCTATGTAATTGATAAAAATAGTAGGAATGGCAAAGACGAGCTGACTGAGATGTAATTGAGCCTTGAAATTTTCAAATACAAATGCATGTCAAGAGCGAAGTATTGTGGGCTCGGCTTGTTTTGAGTGGCAGCAGCATAGTTTATCTTTCTCTTCTATCTAAAGACTTTCTTCCTTCTCTTGGTAACAAATCTGTAGTTTAGTGTCATGAAACTTTAGTTAGCGTTTGACATTTGACAAAAGTTTTAATCAAACATAATCAAACAGAGGAAAACAACATGGAAAAATGTAAAGAGGAAATGAAGCATTTACTCACGGTGGGGGAAAATAGACACTACTGGTGTCCCAGAAAATGTTTTATATTAGGAAGATGCTGAAAAAGTGAGAATGTGCCGTCAGCTGTGTGAGCTGTAAGGTCCTTGGAGAAGCATCTGCAACCCCCACCTTCTCCAAATGTGGCTCCTCTATCTTGGCTGGATTTCCACAATGAGCAGTTTATGAAACCTAGATTGTGACTCGCATGGGGGAGGCCTCCCCTGGCAGGGAACATGAAGCTCCAATTGGCTAGGTGAGGGTGATAGGTACAGGCATCCATTATTCTGTGTCGAGTTGAACCAAAAGGTGCAGTAAGTCTGTTTTCCTGCTGTCATTCACTTGCTAGATTTTCTAACTCTGTTATTGGTAGCCTTTGAAAGGATCAACAAACCAATGTCTACCAGAAAGTGGGCTCTGGTCCTGCTTTACCAGAGCCACCAGAGTCCTGCTCAAAGCACACACTAGTCCAACCATCTTTCTCAGGACTTCAGGAAGAGTTGGCAGTCTGCATGTAGACTCTTAAATACGTGTAGAGTCTTAAACACAGCAGAAGGCTTGTGAGCCATAGACATTAAAAACTGTTTTCTGGGGCTTATTCTTCAAACATATTTGTGCCATGGCCAAAGGGATTTACTTTCAGTGAAACTGTGGCCTTGGGCAAATGAATAAATGCATCGAATAGTGTGTGAATTCCCTACCATGCCTTGGTGACTTGATGCTTCCTCATTTGCTTTGGGGGAGGTTTACTGCCCAGTGATTCCACTCTGAGGAAGCTGTAGATACAGCCTGTTTAAAATCATTCCCAAAGCATATATTTATGTTTATCTTCAGGACAGAAGACTTAACATTTTTTTTTTAAATACCAGTGTTCTCATGATTGCGCATTCTCAGCAAGCCATGTAAAGTCTGCTTTTCCTGTGTATAAAACAAGGAACTTGGGGAATGACTATTTGGTCAGATATGGCCGTGTGGTCCAGGTTCCTTTCCTACGCAATTCAAACACATGGTCCATGATATCATGGAGGAAAGAAGATACACGCATCAGAGGACTATGTGGTGTACTGGCTAGTTTGTATGATTCCTTCCAGTTCTTATTTTGATTCAGTTTTATTCCTTCCAGGATTTCAGTTAGTGATGGTTGAAGAATGTGCTGGGTTCTGTTTATGGAAGAAAAGTTTACAGTTGCAGAGGTGAAGTTTAAGACTTGCTTGCACGAGACAGTACCTGTTTACTGTGTGGTCAATGTGAAATGTAAACGGGACAGAGAAAATATTCATGTTGTTATAAAGCTCAATAGAAAAGGTGGATCATGTTGGGATAAGTGTTTGGAATGTATTCAAGAGAAATAAATCTGAAATTAAAAATTAAGCAAAATAATACTAATTAAAATAAATACTTAAAACTACAAGATTCAAATGTTAGTTTTCCCCATGGCCAACTATGTATAACTTTATAAAGTAGTTCAAAAAGCATATCATATTTTAAATAAAAATTAAGGTTATACCAAAAAATGTTGATATTTGTTTTATTTAATTTGATAGATGTACGAGAGCCTGGGTTATTATTTTGCTTTGGCTCAGTAGTTAGGAAATCTGAGGTATGAACCAGATGAATGAAGAATAAGAGTGCTGAAGCTCATGGTGGATAAGGTCTGGGGACTTACTTATTTGATTTGTTTAAATAGGCTTTGTTTTGAAAGCAAGAGTGATACTGTGCTTATAGCCAAGCATTCAAAAAGGAATTAATGTCCAGAAATCTCCTTCCTGATTTCTAAGTAGAAGTAGCTACTGTTGGCAGTTTTGGAGTATTGTGAATATTATTTTTTTTCTCACAGCTATAAAACATGCGTGTCGATATACACACTTGTGTGCATATGCTTATATGTGTGCGCATATGTACTTGCATATCAAGTATGCCATTTTGTGAATTATTTTCACCAGACAGCTTTTCATGAGCATCTATCTTTTATACATATATGTGTACATTTTTGCATATATATCGGTCTAGTTTTCTGTACATTCATGTCTGATCTGATGGTGATTTTGCCATCAAAGTCTGTGATATGAATATTGCATGTGTCTTGTGCTTCCTTTATGGGTGGATCTTTAGGTTGTTTCCAATTTTATTACTTTTATAGCCAATGAGTTTCTTTGTCAGAATATATTCCTAGGACAGATTCTGAGAGGTAGAATTAGTCGGCTTAACCTGAAAATTAGTATTAGGTTGAACCTACTCATTCTCCCAGCAGGAAAGCCCACTTCAAGTGTGGCACATATTGTAAGCAGTCTTCAGGACTGTTGTCCCGATTACTATTCTTGTCAGCAATGCCTTGAGGGTGATAATTTGGGGATATTATGAGCAATCTCTTGGTCACCATCAACTTTTCTTAATGCCTTCAATGAGTAAATATAACATGTCTAAGATATGATTCTTATTGTGATTTTTATTTTTTAAATACCATGGCCAGAGGCACCTACCCTGAGCTTCTGTGTGCCCTGGAAAGTTGCAGACCTTCCCTTAGCTGGCAATGGCAGAGTCCTCAAAGCAGACAGAAGAGCAATAGTATTTTCTAACTTTGTGGTGCTGGGGAATTGGTCTAGGACTTCTGATATATTATCTACTGTTGAACAATATCCACAGTCCTTGAGATCATCTTACATGACCACTGGGTAATTTATGGATGATGTCTTGAGGACATAAACTAAATTTGCTAGGTGGGAAGTTCCCTTTCTTTCTTTCCTTCCTTCCTTCCTTCCTTCCTTCTTTCTTTCTTGCCTTTTTATGTTAAGGCTCACTATATATCAAATATTTTGTAATTAGTCTTTAATGAAAGTTTAATTATCATTAAGAAATTTTAGTCTAAATATTCTAAATATGCCCCCACTCCCATGTCTCTCTCTGATGATGGACATTAAACCCAGGGACTTATGCTTGCTAGGAAATTGTTTTACCTCTGAGCCACTCCCTTAGCTTGTATCTGAGTGTGCTGAGATAACTGTCTCTTTTCTCCCCTCCCTCCCTCCTCCTCCCTCTCTCCGTCTGCCCTCCCTCCCTCTCTCCCTTCATCCTACAGTACTAAGAGTCACTGTAGAATTTCAGGCCCCTTCACCTTTTTAGTTGAAATGCCATATTTACATTATATTCTGGTCTTTCTGTGCTTTGCAACACTTAAACTTTAGGAAGCACCCAATTCTACATGTTTACCCTAGAATTCTGAGGACCAGGCAGATGAGTTTAATTCATATAAACTTAATCATTTTTGTCTCTGCCTCACCTTGTAGTGAAAGTCATATTCTCAGGTAGGAGAAACAGTGTACTAGAGTCTCACATATGATGGCAAAACTATTTTACCCCCGCTACTAGAATTTGAAACCTCGGTTTTATTTATTTTTGATAAGGTCTCACCACATAGCCTTCGCTGGCCTAGGAATCCTTATGGAGGTCAGGCTAGTCTTGACCTTTAGGCAATCTTCCTACATCTGCCTCCCAAGTACAAGGATTAGAGGTCTGCCTTGCCATGTCCACTGGTAAGCTTTGGTGTTTAGAGCGGTACTTTACCTCATTCTGATAATTGATCCATCATTCTGTAAGGCTAGCTCTTCACTCATAGTGTCTTCTCTTGTGTTCCCCAGGCCTTCTTGCACCGAATGAGCCAGTGTGCAGCAGCAAAGGTTGACAAGAATGTGACAGAGGAAACGGTGAAGGTGAGCAGGCCGCTTTAGCCCTCAGTGCCCTTTCGTTCTTCGCATCTCCACTCTGAGCTCCTCCAGGAGTGACTAGCGTGGAAAGAGGGAGCTAGAGCCTGGGAAGAGAAAGGAAGAGGACAGCTTACATGTCCTAGAGAATTCTTGTGCTTACCAAGACCATGTAAGCATTTGAAAAGATGAAAAGTAAGCCTAAGAAATAAGACTAGACCTTCACTGTGTATGAGAAGAAGGCTGGACGAGGTAACAGACAGTTTGCCAGAGTCGTTCAAGAAGACAAGATATGGGGAAGTGGGAATTCCAGTCTCTGATCTCTCATGAGCAAAATTTGGATCATCCACTGCTACAGAAAAGAATGTAATACCCAAAAGTAAATTCCTAAGCGTTTCTTTACCTTGTAAAATGTAGGGAAGAGGTCCTGGATGTGACTTAGTGGTAGCATGTGTTTTGGGTTGGTTACAATGTCACTGCAGACATGAGAAGAACTGAGAAGTACCACCAGTAACTTAGGTCTCAGAGAGTGGCTGGAGAGTTTGCAGTGTCTAAGAATCTGGGTTCCATCCCCAGCACCCCCTACACACACACACACACACACACACACACACACACAAAGAGTTTTGAGAAAAGAAATAAAGAATGGTAAATGAAAATTTATCTTTTGTCGTGGTTGCTGATTATGCTCTTGCTGTTTTATTAATAAAAAATTAAAGGGTTTTTATATTCCTCTGACTGTTTCCTTATGGGTTATATATGTAACTTGCAGATTTTTCTATCATGGAAAGCTTTAGTTAACAAGCTTTGGGTCACAGAAAAAGCAACCTATGATTCAAGTGGACTTGAGCACTCACTCACAGGGACTCCAGGTGAAAGAAAACATCTGTACAGATGTTTCAGGGTAGGCCAAGTGTAGCTAGGGCTGCAGCACCCAAAGCCGCTGTCTGGGTACAGCGCAATGACCTTGCAGTTGACCCTGCTGTGACTTGTACACATACACACCTGCCAGGAGGAAGGATGGACCATTCTGGGCTACTTTTCCTAGTGTCGAGGACTTTCCCAAAAGTCTGCCGGCAGATCTCCCACACGTTTACTTATAGGCATTCAGGGAAGAGGATGGCCGTAGCAGGCTGGGATTTGTCCCTCAGTCTTTTTCCTGAGTTTCAGGATGGTGTCCCCATTCCCAGAGTTCTGTGGGAAAACAGAAGTCAAGATGAAACTGGCTTTTGCTTGCTGGGTAGGAGGAAGCGTGGATGTGGAGTGGCTGTTCAAGGTGCTGGGTCCTCCTGGGCTTTTTAAAGTGAAATTTTTCAAATTTGCTTCACAACTGGACGTAACAGATTTTATTGCTGTGTTTATTTTTAGATGCTGTTCTCCAATATCGAGGAGATCCTTGCTGTCCATAAGGAGTTCCTGAAGGTTGTAGAAGAATGCTTGCACCCTGAGCCCAACGCCCAGCAGGAAGTGGGAACCTGCTTTCTTCACTTTGTAGGATAATATTTTTTTTCCATCCCCTGTTTATTTTCAAACTCCTTCTCTCTTGATTTTAAGGACTGCATCTTGGCAGAGTAGTATGGGTAAATTCAGCGTGAGAAGTAAAGCCGGACACCAGAAGTGTGGGGTCTTTTAAGGCCAGTGAAATCTTGCCCTAGGAGCCAGAAAAGGGGAGGGAGTCCCCCATCATCCATTTCACTCAAGGAATAAACAGCCTTTTCTTTTTCCTGACAAGCTAGTTCTTCGCATCCTCTGTAGCTTTGAATTCTAATGAATATTCAGCCCGTTTCATAATGAATGGATTTTTATGTTTCGCTCAAACATAGCACATTTTTCTTTTGAGGCAGAAAATTCTCACTCTTATAATGGTGCTGCAAGGCCTTTCTTTATTGGTCAGAACATTCCCTTGTTAACTTTCTGGTTACCAACCTGGAGGCGAAGGGACTGCTGCTTCCCATGACTGGTTTTCCTCCAGGGTGGCTTCTCAGAAGTTTGTTTGGAGCGATGTTGGGAAGAACGAGGTGCAGGGACTCAGTTGTCTGGAACACCCACCCTGTGCCTGGCCGTCAGTTCCATGTATTTGTCCAGGATACCTGGAACTGTGCAATCGATTTGCAAAGCAAGAAGCCACCTGCTTGGTGTTTTTAAGAACCAAAGGGTATTCATACTACTACAAGAACAAATTTAAAAAAACATTGTCATTGATTCCTTTCCATGAGTGCTAATTTTCAGAACACCTCTCTGAATCAAATGCCCCCCCCCCCCCCCATGAGTATCTGACATACACAGCTAGGTGAGAATACAGAAATGCCACCCAATGACTATCTGACATACACAGCTAGGTATGTATGAAGCTTTGTGTATATTTTCTGTTTAGTCATTTTTCGTGTAGTTTCTTTATCTACATGTGATGAACAGGCTTGTTTTGTAATCTGTATATATATGTTTTAATGATTGTTTTACCAAAGGGAGATACTCCTGGGGACTGGGTTGATTATTAAGCTGTGCATTTCTTGGTTATGGCTGGGAGCTGTGATGCTCATATCCGCTTCTTCAAGCCTGTTTCCTTTCACAGAACAGTCAGACTCCCCTGCCAGCTGGAGTAGCTGTTATCTCAGGCCAGGGATGCTCATGGGAACTCTGCACCCTGACAGCCATTTCCTTAGTAACACATTATGAATCTGTCATCCATAAATGCCTCTCAACTATTTCTGAACTTTACTCTTATTCTGGCTCCTACCATCTCTTGAGGCTTGTAATTCAACCCATGCTCTGCTGGCTACATAAAACAATGCTTACTGCTCCTAAGTCTGTGTCTTTGAAATTCTGTTCTGATAACTTGGTTAATCAATTATTTGCATTTTTCATTGGGCTCCTTTGATAGCTATTAATTATAGCTCAATTGGGAGCAGTCCTATAGATATGGTAGAGATCCCAGAGATCATGATAGCAAAATTCTTCATTTTTGGAAAGAAATCTCTCTAACACGTGAAGGCTGTTTGTGTGGTTTCCCGGCAGCTCAAATGATTAGATCTTGATTGATTGGTCACACCTCTGTCCATCACTGGCCCTGCCATTTCCACTGAATGGCCCTGTTTTGGAACCTTATAGACGTTCATTTCTCACAGAATAAAGGCCATTTGAAAGTAGCTATAATAGTATGTCTTGACCTTTCTGTCTTAAACATCTCTCTATGAAGCAATCGCTGGGATGTTGTACCTTCAGGGTCTGCCATTATTTTAGTTACTTGTTGCTATGTGCTTTTTTGTTTGTCCATGTCCCTTTTAAATGTGACTGCTATGATTGGCTAAGGTAAACATCGGGGTTCTGTCTCTCATGATTCCTGTGTGAGGTATCGCGTGCCTCTTCTCTCTGTCTAGAATGATGCTGTCCCTCCTTTTGACTGGGAGATGTCCATTTATCATTTATTTCACTGGACCAAGGTCAGAAGTAAGATTAAAAAAAAAAGCCATGTCTGACTTCTCATGACAAAGGTAAAAAACCTTCATTCTCTGAGCTTTGCCACCATTTGACTCACTCCTATTATTGCATTCATATTGGGGCAAATTTATCAACTTCTTTTCTAGGCTATACTTATGAATGGGGGCAATAAAAAATTTACACACATGTCGTGTGTCTCTGAGACACTGTACCTTTGTGGAGTGTTTATGCATATCACATGGATTAAAATTTCAAAGTAATGTACAGTAATTCTCACTTATGCTGTCTTTAATTCACAGAAAGACAAGTTTCGTATCTACGATGAGTATTGCAGCAACCATGAAAAGGCACAAAAGCTGCTTCTTGAACTGAACAAAATAAGAACAATCCGTACGTTTCTTTTAGTAAGTGCACATTCGTCTGTAATCACATGCTGGCATTGGTGGAGGGCTCTGTCTATAAGAATGCATGTGGATATTTGTCCTGGGCTACGTCTTAGCACTTGCAGACTTGGAAGATAGTCCATAGATGCTGTAAGCATCCGGATCTGGGATGAGCATATATGTGAGAAATGCTGCTAATGCCCTCTCCTGGCTGCCGGAGAATTGTCTGTACGATCTCTTCAGTCAAGCAAAGAACTGAGGTCAGAGTTCACCTTTGCCTTGCGTCCTCAGCTCCTCAGGGATCTATTACTCCTCAGAGGACTGGAAGTAGGGCAGTCACAGGAAGGAAGCCAGTGTGGAGACCGGCTGCTCCCCTGTAGACGTTCATTACTCTGTTTTCTTAAGAGCAGCAGAATTCAGTGTTGATTTCCTTTAAGACAACATACATAAAGGCATGTTTAAACAGCTATGGACTACCATTGCAAGTGTCTGATGAAGTGAGAGGGGTTGTTAGGCCATCCCCCAAAGTCTAGCTTTAGAGCACTTCCATGTACTTGAACAGGCTCCTGTCTTTTGATAGTCTATTTCCCTTCCCACCATTTGCTTCAGGCTACAACGATTTGCTCTCTATATAGAGTGTCCTTTTTATAGATAAAGTCATAAATTCATATTCTATTCATATTTCTATTTATCATTATAAAATATTGCTTTCATCTTAAGTGGTACTTTTTAATAACATCTATTTTCCTTATAGTTATGGAAGAATCTCTCAGTGTTTGAAATTCTACATTAACTCTTATTTTTTAGTGACTACATACGATCTTTTAAATGTTCTGGTAGCCTGCACATTTCCTTTCCTATGCATGTTCATTTTCTGTTAATAATGATTTTATTCCAAAATAATATAGTGGAAATTTTTGCTTTAGTGTTTCCTGGAAGGAAGTGCAAAGTGTTGAGGCCTCTCTCCCTTGTGTAGCTTCTGTCATCTGTGCCACCTTCTATGTAAAGAAGCCTACACCACTCATAGTTTTCTGTTCCCTACTTTTCTACAGTCTACCACCTCCGCTCTTCTTCATTCCTTTCGATTTGACATTGACTGTGGTAGCCTTTCCTGTGAAGGATAACCCTCAGTTTTCCTCTTAGTCATTCCTACTAGTTTATCGGGAGATGTCTTTGTCTTCAATTTTGAAGGGTAGCTCCATTGAGAGTATTCTTGATTGCAACTTTCCTTTTCATAATTTTGAGCTGGAATCCACTACTACGTAATTGCTTCTCATGGGACTGACTCTGTTGTTTGTATTGCTGCTACTGTTTACATGCTACTGCACTGTCCTCCTGCCAGGGTTTTTTGAGCCCAGGACTTGAAGACTAGTCTAGGGAACATTGTATGACTCCATGGCTTCATCTTAAAGTAAATAAAATAAAATAAATTGTGAATTTGCAGGGATTATTAAAATAGTCATTACATAATTTTTCCTTTTATTTAATTAACCTTATGCATACATTAAATAAAAATAATAGTAATTATTTCATTATATTGCATGTATGGGTGCTTTGCCTGTATAAATGTTTGTGCACCGTGTGTATAATGTTTTTGAAAGTCAGAAGAGGGTGCTGGATCTCCTGGTACTGGAGTTACAGATGGTCAGTTCCTCGGCAAGAGCAGCCAGTGCCCTCAACTGCTCTCATTGCTGTGGCCACCACATCCATATTGCCTTTTGGGTCCTTGTATTTGTTTGTTTTTCTATAATCTGTTATTCTCTGTTCTCCTTATATTAATTCATCTGTAACTCAGTGAAGTATTTTCTTTTTCATCGCGTGTCTCTTTGATTTGGCTTCACTGTTTTTCTCTGTTGTTTTTTTCTGTTTCTCTGCTTGCCCTTGGTGTCCTTCAGTTATTTAAGAAGTGCTTAAATTCTCTGGGTATACTTGTAATAGCTATGTTGAAGTCTGTGCTAAATCTAATATCTGGGTACACTAAAGAATTTTTATGGACTATGACTGAGTCAAGTTTTCCTGTTTCTTTTTGTATCTCATAATTTTAAAATTAAAAAATAGCTTGACATTTTAAATGACTTAATAGCAACTCTGGAATCTGTGTTTCCTCTCTGAGATTGGTTACTGGGTTTTTGTTTTTGTTTGTTTTTTCCTTGTTGCTCCGTTCTGTTCTTAGTAACCTACCTAGACTCAATCTGACTCTCATTTCTCTGAAGACATCTCTTCTTAGGTTACCTTCATTATTTCAAAGCCCTTCTTTTCGAGATCCCTGCTGTGAGTGTTCAGTATGTCAGAGCTACTCTTCTCATTATTGTGGACCCAAGTGTAACTATAATTATACACACAGTTGAAGGCCAGAAAATTTGCAAGGCGACTCAGGGTTTTTCTCAGGGTGTCTACGAAGGTCTTTCTTTGAATGACACACTCTTTATGCCATGTATATCTCTTTAGGTCGTCAGTGTTAAATTTTTGGCCAGTTTGCTGGAAGACCTCAAGTATAGCTGTAGTCTCAGGCACGCGTTGTGAAAATGTCCTGTTTTGCTTATGGAATGTGTTAGCATTTTGTACAACACCATTTGATATGAGATTTTTGCTCTTTGCAACTCCCTGGGTAGAGTGTAAGAACTCTGCTGTTTTGTTTAGTGTGTCCTGTCATTAGCAGTGTTCACTTGGAATCCTACTTAGTTTTATTGGTTTCGTGATTTTATGTGAAGTCCTACTGAAAAAGCCACGAGTCAAGAATGTGGGTTGAGGTGACTCACAGCATACTCTAGCAGACAGAATCTGTCTTGATAAATCTGTCATTCATAAAATGAGGGATGCTAACAATTACCCTTTGGGATTCATCTAACCGTTCCCAGGTGTGGAGTGCTGATGGTATGAGTTAGGGGCTTTGCTGGAGCTGCCATCTCAGGAAGTTTTTAATGTCATTGAAAGTTATTCCGTGGACTTATTTATTTTTATGATTATGGCACAGCTCACAGTTGGCTGTACATACCCATATCAATCATGAATCCAGAAAACGCTCTGAGGACGTGCCCACAGACCAATATCAATCATGAATCCAGAAAACGCTCTGAGGATGTACCCACAGACCAATATCAATCATGAATCCAGAAAACGCTCTGAGTACGTGCCCACAGATTAATCTCTTAAGGGAAATGCCTCAATTGAGGTTCCCTGGGCTCAGGTGATTCTCCTTTGTGTCACGTTGACAAACAAACAAACAGAAACAGTACAAGTGCTTGCTGTAAAGGCATGAGGACCCATGTTCTGATCCCTCAGGCTCATGTAAAAGCTGGGGGAGAGTCCACCTGTAATCCCAGCCTTAGCGGGTAGACATAGGACTCCCCAGAGCAAGCTGCCTGGGAATAATAATGATATTATTATTATTATTATTATTATTATTATTATTGTATAATTGTAATAGTGAGCCCTGTCTCATTGAGTAAAGTGGAAGGGTGATTGACAGTGTTTCCTGACATCACCTTTAGCCCTCCACACACACAGATCACATGTACCTGCACAGATGTGCATGCTCACCTTCACACATAGGTGTCCACAATGTACAGGCATGCATACATGTATGCATATGCACACATATAGTTGTCTCTCTCTCAAACACACATGTGGATAAAAAAAAATGTTAAAATTAAACTAGGCTTTTTCAGGACACCTCATGAACCATGAAAAAGAGGAACTACGTTTTTGAGATTGCTAACTCATGCTGGAACTGGAACCTTTAAAACATTCGTGGAACTGAAAAAGCATGGGATAAAACCGGACTCTCTGAATATGGCAGACAATGAGGGCTGCTGAGAAGCCAAGGACAATGGCACTGGGTTTTGATTCTACTTCATGTTTTGGCTTTGTGGGAGCCTAGCCAGTTTGGATGTTCACCTTCCTAGACCAGGATGGAGCGGGGAGAACTTTGGACTTTCCACAGGGCAGGGAACCCTGACTGCTCTTCAGACTGGAGAGGGAGGGGGAGAGGAGTGGGGGGAGGAGGAGAGGAGTGGGGGAAGAGGGAGAGGAGTGGGGGGAGGGAGAGAGGAGTAGGAGGCTGGGAGGAGGCGGAAATTTTTTTTTTCAATAAAAAAAAACGATATTAATCATTGTAACCAAGGATTTCTCCCAGGGAAACCATGATAGGTACTGTGAAGGAACGCTGACTGCTCTGTCTTCTGTGATGTTTGGGTGAAGTGACCATCCTCTAACGAGGTACCCATACAGAGACTGAGACTGCTGTCTCATGCAGGGAAGGACTCTGTGCCCAATGGTGTGCCTTTGGAATGTTCTCCCTTCAGCTCTTCTCCTCCTGGAAACCCATATAGAATATTACTATAAAATAGTGTCAGCGACTATGCTAACCTCCCATCGTAGCCTTCTGAAGGTTCTCTCCTTCCTGCCTGATGGATTAAGTGCTCGTCTGGGGTGGCCACTCTGGCAGACAATGCAGAAAGAAGGTTCTCACAGGTCTTTCTCATTGTAGTATTGTTGAGAAGACTAAAGGCTGTCTACTCAAGTGGGTTTTCTCTTCACCACCACTTTATGGCAAGCCCAAGCTGCTTCTTGTTCACCCTGTGATTGCTAATGTGGAGATTTTCTCATCTGTTTTGCCCTTGTGGAGAGCTGCTCTGATTTCCTCTAAGATTGACTGCCACATTGTCTTTTCTTAAGTATGGTCATGTAACAACAGCAGTAGCAGCAGCAAACATGACTGAGAATCACCCGTTTAAAGGATTCCAGCATAACAGAGAGCAAAACTCTGAAATGAGATCAAGTGGGTCGCGTCACCAGTCGGTACTGAAGTCTGACTTCCATACCAGAACCCGGTGTCTCGGTGCCTGCTTTTCCACAACATGATGCACTTAAAAATGATTTATTTTCTTGTTTCTGTAAATGTACCTACTTGTTTGTGTGTGTTCAGTGTGTATGCAGGTGCCCGAGAAGGCCGGAGGAGGCAGTCACATGCCTTGGAATTCAATCTACAGGCAACTGTGAGCTGCCCAATCTGCATATTGGCAACTGAGCCATGGCAAGAGCAGCAAGCTTTCTTAACTCTCTAAGCACCGTGCCCTCTCTCCAAGCCTCTCAACAATGCTCTTCTGTAAACAAAATATATCTGCTTTGTATGTTTCTCTATTTGTTCTTGCTCTCCCTTTCTTGTTTACTCCCTTTCCTTCATGTTCAGAAGAATGTATGTGGCTTACACTCGAAGTTATAGGTTCACTTTGGGTTCTGTACCCAACACAAAAGGCCTGCTCTTCACTGTCCTTGTGACATGATATAGAAGGACACCTGTTTTCACAACCTTTCAGAGTGCAATTTTGGCGGAATAGTTTTGCAGCCTCAGATTTGCAGGATGTACTTATGTATGTTTGTTTTCCTTGCAGAACTGCATGCTGCTGGGAGGACGGAAGAACACAGACGTTCCCCTGGAAGGGTACTTAGTGACCCCAATACAAAGAATATGCAAGTATCCTCTCCTCTTGAAGGTATTGAATGCTGCAGTGTGTGTTAGTGTCTTAATATTTTGTTGACTTCAAAAATAACTTTTAAAGATGCTGATATTCTTGAAAGAAGAGACCATAATTACTGAAAAAAATGGCTCTTTTGTCATAAATTTCTGTATGGAATAGGAAACGAAGCTTTAGTAGAAAGGCCATTAAAGGAAGCTTTTAGTGCTCTTTGAAACACATGTACTTGTTTGAATTTCATTTGGAGTAAATGCATTAGCTTTAGAAAAGACCCCATTAAATCCATTATGGCTGGTTTACATAGCATTTTAGCCACAGAGAACTTTGTATAATTCCACTGTTGTTCTATTTTTGGTTTCTCTATATTGTAGTGACTTGATGCTAATGACATTAAGGTTAAATTACACAATGTCAAAGCTTAGTGTGTCAGTTAGGTTTTTTTGTTTTTTTTTTTTTGTTTTTGTTTTTTTGTCAACTTGATACTAGCTCGGGCCATCTGCGAGAAGGGGACATCGATTGAGAAAATACCTCCATCAGTTTGTTGTGTGGAAAAGTCTTGGGGGCATTTTCTTGATTAACAATTGATGTGCGAAGGTGCAGTCCACTGTGGGCAGATGGAAGCTAAGCAAACCATGGGAACACACCAGTAAGCGGTGGTCCTCCTTGCCTCTGATTCAATTCCTGCTTCCCGGTTTCTGTCCTGATTTCCCGTATAGATGGGCTGTAAGCTGAAACAAACCCTTTCATGGGTCATGGTGTATATTATAACAATAGAAACTTAACTAATACACTTGCCTTTTAAGCAGTTACTGTAAAGGGGTTGTGTGGACCACATGGAACAGGCGTGGTAGAACACAGGGTGGAAAGCACTCCTGTCACAGAAGTAAACACCACCCTAGCAGCTGCTGCGGGTTTGAAAGTAACCAGAGTTTTTAGTGTGATGAGACAATGTTGTACAGGAATAGCAAGTCTGAAACTATAGCTTTTGAGATTTCAACCTTAGGGTAGGGAATTGGAGGGAGAGGTGGATGCATGAACCCTGAGTTCAAATCACAGTGGTTCTTTACTAACTCTCTGTCTGAGTTGTGCAATCGAACCTCTTAAAGCCTTGAGTTTGCATTGGGAGAACAGAGATGGTGACAAAGATTATCTTGAAGTCATAGTATATGAATTTATATACAAACACATGGATATATGTTTATTTACATGTACATAGGACTCTGAAAGGATAATTGATTTTGCAATTTTACATTTATCTTAGAATAGTGTTTGGTGTTATTCATTATCATTCATATCTATTTTATTCTTATTTATTTTACTAAATTAATTATGGATTGTTTCTGTTTTTTAAAAAATATTATGAAATACTATGGACATGTAAACAGATGTGTTGGAGTACCTTTTGGAAGATAAATGTTATGAATAGTAACTAGAAATAAATATTGTTATAGTTTTATGAGTTGCATAAGTTGACTGTCTTATAAATTTGTGTGTATTAATAGTATATGGGTTGTTATATGGACTAGTTGGTGTAGGTTTGTGCACATGTGTAAGTGTGCTTATCATGTATATATGCATGCATGTGGAAAGCCATTGCTGAAATCCAGTCACTGCTGTCTAGGGTCTTGATCAGGTTTGGTTTCTCCATCAAGTAAGAAATAAAAAGACAGAAAAAAAAAAAAACCAAATGGTTCCAGCACAAACCTTAGGTCCCAGAACTCAGGAGGTAAAGGCAGACAGATCTCTGAGTTCTAGGACAACCAGGACTACATAGAAACCCTGTCTCGCAAAAAACCAAAACCACAACCACCCTAAAAAAAGAGGCAGGAAACAAACTTTATTAAAAGTGTAGAAGTACACACATACACACACATGCATACACATACACACACATGCACACACATACACACACATGCACACACATACACACACATGAACACACACAGAGACAGAGATAGATTCAGAGTCAAAGAGAGACAGAGTGAGGCAAAAGGTATTTAGAAACTAAAAATATGAACCTGCTGGGAGGGCTTGGATCTTTAAGGTATCATTAGCGATGTAGGGAAAGTCCCCCTGTCATTATTTTTGTCTGGTCAACTTAAGAAAAAAGAGGGATCTGATAGGCCTATAGAGTCAGGTTTTGAACTGGCTCTGGTCATGTCGGGGCAGGTCAGCTAGAAGGAGCACCCCAGTTGGGGTTGGAGGGGAAGTTCATCAAGGCTTTTTTCTGGATGAAGAAGCTGGAAGTTGGCCATCGTGTTGTATACCAACGTAACTTTCGCCTATCTGTCTGCTTGCTTTCCCCTCTCATTGGTACCTGTAACCTATAGGGCCACTAGCACAGTTTTAAAGCCTAGCAAAGTATGATTAAAGAGAGTGTTGGTCCATGGACACCATTGTTGAAGGAGGAGAACATGTAGGAACACCACCTACAGAATCTGCTACATGCCTGATCATAAGCACTGGTCAGACTATGATGTCTCTACCTCCTTGATCTACTGCTAGCTGTTGGTTTGACTCAAGAGATTGAGGTTCTTTTAATCAGTGAGTTTCAAATTATCAGCAAGCACATGGGTTTCTTCTATTTCAAACCTATGCAGAACATCAAGGGACAAGGTCAGTGAAAAGACTTCCTCCCACATTGTTACTGATGCAAATTTTGGACAAGGGATCAAGGTCTAGTATAATGAGTGAATTGGTGCACCAGATTCTCATACTGGAAAGCTGAAGGTCAGAGGCCTTACATGAAAAGTCAGTGAAAGTAACCATCCCCTTGATCATTCCCTTCCAAAAACAGATGTGCTTGCTAGTGTACCAGAATTTATTTTTTCTGAGGTTAGACACCAAGGGCCAAGTGTGAATGAAGTCAGAGTCTCTTCCTTTTTTGAACAGAGCCAGAGCTCACTCTCTAATTAGGGATCAATATAATCCCCCTGGATCAGGTTTGGTAAGATTGCCCAGCGCTATCCTATCGGCACTACTTGGGTGCCATTAATGATTTTCCCAAGACTATAAGTTTTATGATAAGGTATTTATTTTGTAGCTTCAGTCAGTATACAAGATGAGATATTACAGTGGTATGGAGTTTTCTTTGAAAGAAAGGGCATACCATAATTAGGAACGATGTTCTCAGAGTTAGGTTCAACATTTGGGAGGATAGGCCATTGACACATAGGCAATTTGGATCCCATTTCATTTCATAAAGTTAATAAACTTTTGTTAGATATAAATACAAGCTCTCTTTCCTCATGTGATGGAAATATTTTTTTGGAGACTGTGTCTAATAGGTATCATCTATTCTTTAGATCTGAATTTTCTTTTGTTAATATGTTCTATTCTCTTCCTTCTGCTTGGAATAAGAGATTGACTTTATGGCTTGTTTGGCTAGGGAATTCTTTTCAAGGGATTGCCGTTCCTCTGAGGTGGCCCATTCTAGCACTTTGGTGAACCCTAAGTTTGTGCTTATTTTTCCAAGGAGATAACGCATGGTTAGACAGAGGATGGATATTCTTGAGGAAGTTTGTCTCCCAGGTTTTTGTGTGAGGTTAAGGTAACTGGGGAATTCTCCTCAATCATAGATTTCTCAGGCAAGATTAGGGACAACAACTGGGAAACTTGTCTCTGTTTTAGGGCTGTGAATTCAGATTAGAATAAAAATGGGAATCCAAAACCAATAGGTAGCCTATAGGAGGTTCGGAGTGGTGGGGACAGTCCCCAGGTAAGCCCAAGTCTGGTGTACCCACATGGATTCCAGTTTTATCTGGCATGAATAGTAAGTGTGATATTGGAGAATATGTGAGCCTACTGGGTCACACCTTGTACCTGGGAATGTCCATTAGGAAATTCCGAAGTTGCAGGTATAGGGTAAGGTTTTGCTGTCTTTCTTGTTTTGTTCTGTTCTATATTGCAGTGATTTTCACATATTTGGATCTTTGAACCAAATGTTTGGTTACTCCTAGTTGGAGAAGACGATTACAATTAGGTGGCTTCTATCATGTTGATGGTGATCAGAAAGGGTTTGTAGCTGTTGTCTTAAAAACATTTATTATCCTGGAAGGGATAGAATGAGTTGGTCCCAATGGGGGTCTTGGTCAATGCAGAAGAGATTCTGTGAAATGTGTTCCTCTTTGTCAAGGTCTAGGTTGGTTTTATTTCTAGAGTAGAGTGAAGGTCCTTTCCCACAATGGGGAAGTGAAACAGGAAACCTGAATGAATGCTTCACGTGCCGTGCGCAGTGTGGTTTCACATTCCTGTTATTGTCTGTCATACAGTGAAAGTGTTTTTATCAACCCATCTTCTAGAATATGGCTGAAAGATCTCCAGAGTCTGTGGAGGATACAGGGTTATTGATAAGGAGGTAAAAAATCTCCAAAAGGGCCATGATCAAGAGAAGTGACACCATGGCCTGTGTAGGAGAAGTCATGATAGCTAGAGAGCAGTAACTGTGGCAGGCAAGTGAGAAACCAGTGCCTAGAGAGGATAGCACAATCATGCAGAGTCATTGAATTTGAGCAGGGTTGACATTTGAAGATCAGTTTGAGATGACATTTTCCTGGGGTCTCTTGTTTTTTCAGGGAAGCCCGAAGCAGTCTTGAACCTGGTAGCTGAAGCCATGTGTCTAGTTCTGAAACTCCACCTCCTGTGCAGGGGTGGGGGGCGTTGGCTAGCAAAACAGGATATGGGCTTTCCCATAGGAGGTGGACAAGGCTTTCAATTTGAGTCTGATGTCTTGATTAATACTAAGCTTCCTGGACAGAAAGAGGGAGTTGCTTTGTGTCCTTCTTTGAAAAAGCATGTCTGTAGTTCTGATAGATCTCCTGGAATTTTGCCAGCTGGTGTTGCAAGTCACCATTGATTGTTTCAGGGTTTGGTCAAGGTCATTGGTGAGAAGAGTTTTACTGTGTATGAGACCTTGGAAATTAGGCATATTCCTAAATCTGAGCTGGACCAGGGGTAAATATATATATGCCCCATGGATTTCTCCAAATAACTTCCTTTGGTGTCTTTTAGGAGAATAC